CTTCCGTGGGTGTTCCTGACCACAGGCAAGTGAGAACTCAGGATCAGGAGGAGGCAGGTGAGGACACAGGCTTGGGAGAAAGTCCTTCCCTGGTGCATCTCACTCACAGGCATTTGCTCATTCACAGCAGAGTGGCCTTGGAGGGAGAGGCCAGCCATGACTGTCACAGGAAGGGACCCCTGCCCAGAAATTCCAAATGTCCCCACCGTAGACCAGAGTACAGCCTTCAAGTTAGAGGAAACTTTATAGACGAACTCTTCCAACTGGCCCAGTTCACTGGAGGGGGATGGGGCGTGGCCAGGGCCTACCACCAGCCCAAGGCTGCAGATCCAACCCTGGAGTTGAGGTCTGAGGCCTGCCTGTGCCCAGCACTGCAGCGGACACCAGGGGTAGAGAGAACATGGCACAGAGCTTCTGTGGGCATGACAAGAGCCACAGAGGGCAAAGAGGTGGAAGGACTGGGCTGGGGTGGCCAGAGAGGGCTTTCCTGAGGAGGTCATATCCCCATAGCACCCCAAACTTGGCCTGTCCCAAACCAATGAGTGGTCTCCCTCCCAACCGGGCCCTCTCCCATGTCTCAGCCCTCTGCCAAGCGCTAAGGTCTGTGGCTTCGACCTCCTTGACCCATTCACTCCCTCTCTGTCACATGCCTGCCACTGCAGGCCACAGCCATCCTCCTCCACTCTGACCAGGGCTTACACTCTTGTCCCCTTCTTCCAAAGAGCAGTCATCTGATAGCAACCGCACCACCATGCTGAAAACTCTCCTGTGGCTCCCCACTGCCCTTGGGACAGAGACCACAGCCTGCATGGCCCTGTTTGACCTGGTCCCAGCCCTTTCCAGTGTCACATCCCACAGAGCTCCTTCTCTTTGCCCCTGCCTTTCCTATCCCTCCATGCCACCTCAGGACCTTTGCACAGGCTATTCCCCTGTTGGGTCTGGCTAATGCCTACTCAGCCTCTGCCTCCTTCCTGCCCATCCCACTCAGAGACCCACTAATTCCTACCAGGCTCAGAAAGCCAGGCCCAGGTTGCTCACTCTGCTACCCAGGCCTGACGCAGCCCACCTGGATAGTTTGTTATTCTTGCACTCCGGCCATGAGCAGCTGCTGCCGAGTGGGTTCCGGAGGCGCTAAAAATACCCCATGACCTAGACAGGAAGGGCCAACAGGGACACAGCTGCTCCTGGGAGGGGCTGGCTGAAGCTGCAGTATAGGCCCACCCACTGTGTTTTTGGGGGTCCATGAGCTGGAAGGAAGTGGGCACAGAGCTGAGGAAAGGCTCTGGACAGAGGATACTCAGGGCCAGCAAGGGGTAGCATGTGTTGTCAAAAGGAAAATGCAGCTCTCTCCAACATGCACACAAAAATACCTTGTTTCCGATTCTTCTGGTTTGTTATCACAGGCGTGTGTTGCCTTTGGAATAAAAAACATTTAAAGCCCTGGCTGGCTTTGCTCAATGGTTAGAGCATCAGTCCACGGACCAAAAGGTCATGGGTTTGATTCTCAGTCAAGGGCACATACCTGGGTTGCAGGTTTTCCCCACCCCAGTCAGGCAACCAATCGATGTGTCTCTCTCACATCAATGTTTCCCTCTCCCTCTTCCTCTCCCTCTCCCTCCCTTCCACTCTCTCTCTGAAAAGCAATGGAAAAAATATCCTCAGGTGAGGAGCAACAAAAAATATATATATATTTTTAAATTAAGTGTATGGGGTCCTAAGAGAAGATATGTGGGCTCTGGTCCCTTCAGGGAGGGCTTCCTGGAGTAGGGGGCATTTCCACCACCCTCCCTTGCTCTCTTCTTTTAACAGAACATCTAGGCTGGTAGGAAGGAAAAAAGAATAAGTGAGCCAAGTGTTTGGGGCAGTCCCAGAAGTGAGCATCTGAGGCCTGAATAAGAGGTGGTGGTGGTCATGAGGTGTGTTGGAGGAGAGGGAAAGGACTGGAGAGTTCCATAGGAGCATCAGCTTCTATGTGGGGCTGGAACGGGGGCAGGGATGGTCCCAGGTTTCTGGATAGTTACTGGCTGGTGAGGGTCTCTCCTAGTGTATGAGGCCAGTGAGGAGGAAGGCAGGCTTGGTGGGCACTCAGGGGATGCTGTACTGCCTATAGGCACTGGGAAAACCTGGACAGGGCATTTAGGAGTCCTCTAGGTGTCTCCAGACCTGGGGATCCTGGGGCCCCTTGCTCTGCAGCAGCAGGCAGGTTCGCAAGGCCAGAGAGACATCTTGGGAGCAGGGCCCATTGTCACCTTGGCAGGGAAACACGGGCCCTCCTCCTGTCACAGCCCTCAGCACCGGAGAGAGAAGGTGGGCCCAGCAGGCAGGGCTTAGGACAGATAACTAAATTAGCCCGCAGCGCACTGCCTGTCTTCGTCTCTAGGACCCTGGGAACATGCAGTACCCAGGGCTTCTCTCCATAAATAACTGTCTAAAGGTGCCAGAGGGTCGGAGGAGAAGAGGACCTGGTGTCTCCAGAGTTGCCTGTCCTGGGCCTGGAGATGGGACAGAAAAAGCCTGGATTGGACCCCAGGCCCTGATCTGCCTCCTACTGGGCCTCAGTTTCCCCCATCTGAGGCTATCCCGAAGCTCTGAGAAGGGAGAATCTGCAATAGAACCCAGCCGTTGCTCCCTGGATGTCTGGCCCAGCTGGCTGCCCCTACCCTGGGCTCCCAGCCTCCCAGGAATGTGTTTCTCCACCCCCAAACTGGGCGCCTGCCTTATCAGCCCAGTCTAAGGAGAGACAGACGCCCCTGTTGACAATGACAGCCCCTCCTGTTAGCCCCAGCCTGACCCTGAGTGGAGGGCCAGCCAGCGCCTGCTAAGTGCCTGGAGGCAGGAATACCTCCCCTTCCCCACGCACACAAGAAACCCGACCTCCCCTGCTGGCTCCTTCATGACAGGCAGGTGCCCGCCCTGGCGTCTGAGGCCCTGGATCCCAGCCCTGCTGCCATGCCTCCACCTTGATGGCATCTACTCTGTCCGGCCCACCTCAAACATGACCTTGGCCTGCTTTGCTGGAAAATGGAGCTGGCTGATGGGGGCTCCCTGAGCCTGCTCCCATCACTTAACCTCTCAGCATCTTGGTCCCATTCCTGCTGTACCTGGCCAGCTCTGCCCTCACTCCTGAACCAAATGCACAATTCTCTTCAGTGCTTCCAGCCTCTCCCTCCCTCCTCTCTCCTCCAGAGCAGGGGCTCCTTGAGCCAAGTCCCAGGGGACCTTTCTTAGTGCCCTTGTGGTTCCTCTTTCTCTTAGGATCCACCTGAGATAACTTTCTCAGCTGGCTCTCCCCCATTCTAGTCTCCTTGGGGTCCTGTCCAGAGCACCCCTCACTTTCTACACTTACATCTAAGGCTGAGGTCCCCATGTTGGTAAAGGCACATCGGTCTAGCCACCTTCCTTTCCCTCGTGCCTGTTACTATCCTGGCCACCGGGAACCTTGGCATGACTGCATGCCCATAGTCCCTTCCCAGTCTCTGGGGACTTCTCACTGCTTTGCTCCAGAAGCCCTTTCCTGGCTCGGCTCCTGCTTACACTCCACACCCCAGCCTCCCCCGGCCTTCCCAGCTGAGTCTGCCTCTCTCTCTGCCCAGGCCTGGCCTCTCTTTTCTCAGTCTAGCCTTGCCCCTTGGACATCTCATATTTGTAGGCCCAGGGTTACAAATGCCATTGATCTACTGATGAATGATACCCACATTTAGATCACTTGGCTGACCTCTTCCCCAATACCACACTTGGATTTTTCCTGGCAGGTGTTTCACAAACTCAGTGAGGCCAGAAGAGACTCTCCACTAACCTGCTAAGTTGGGGGTGGAGGGTCACATAGTAGGCCCCATTAGATGCTCAATAAACAGTTGATTTTCTTCATTAGAATGAATAAATGGAGTTTCTCTTTCCCACCAAAATAATGAGGCCCTCTCCAGCCTGTCCACTTGCTCCAGCCCATCTTGACACCCTCGTGTCCCATGGGGTCTGCAACCCCAACCTGGCCCCTCCTCCCGAGGGCCCCCAAGAAGACCTCTCACAGGAGCTGCCGTGTTCTAGCAAGGCCCTGGACGGGCGGGGGGATTTGGACATGCTGCAGAGCGCCTCCCTTGCTGTGGGTGAGGTGACACTGTCTCTGGTTCTCAGAGGTGAGCAGGACGGGCCCAGGTCGCTGTGCAGCCCAATGTGTGCCCTAGAGCCACACAGCCACACTCTGAGATCGGCCCGCCCCGCCCCACCCCTTGTTCCCGCCCCTTCC